TAGACAGCCCTTCACAGATGCACAATTATTGGGTAAAAAGTGATGAGGAATACGAATTTCCAAATTTCTATGGTAGTCTGCATTTCATAAGACCCTTCTCTTCATGGTTTTAAAACCATTTATACTTATAAAACCACTAATACTTAAATCTTTATATTGGGGTCAGGGTCCCCAAATAGGAGGTAAATATTTCACAGAGGGAGAAATTCATCACAATAACTTGTGAAATTCAGGTTGTATTTAGCACTTCTGAATGTTAAGTAAACCTAGGGAATCCCCATCTTTGAAGGATAATAGGTATTCATAGTTACAGAGCTAGTTATTGGGCTAAGCACTGTACATACGTTCTCAAGTTTAACAATCTAGGAGATGGGCATCAACTATATTCTATTTCAGGTAATATTTGCAGTGAAGGACTACAGAGCAATTTGGAAATCCACACAGTAAGATTACAGGGGTGAAAGATGATGAACTTTGAAAAAGTCTGGTATATACTTCCAAAATTAGTTTCCGAAATGGTTTTAAGTTTAGCAAACCCTTACACCTAAACAATTACTAACTTGGTATTTTCATTTATGAGATTATTTTCTGTGTTCTTTAGTGCATGTTATTGATTGTTTTGGGGTGGCACTATGTCCCTCCAGTTCATGTTTAAGTCTTAACTGCCGATCCTCCGCCCCAAGATTGTGAGTTATTTGTAGATGCAGCCTTTACAGACCTACCTAAGGTTAAAATGAGGTCAGTAGGGTGGGTCCTAATCCTGTCTGACTGATCTTTCTTTTTAAAGAGATTAGGACACAGACACTCACTGATTGTGTGAAGATAGAAAATGGTCTTCTGCCAGCCAAAGCGAGACCTTAGAGTTAACCTGCTCACACCTTGATTTTTTTAAATTTCTAGTCTGTTTAACAGAGAATTTTAAGTTACCCAGTTTCTGGTACTTCGTTATCACAACCCTAACAAACATAGTGCAGAGATTTAAAAATGGTAATTTGGAGGAAACTTGCAACTTTATTCCCTAATTAGTGAAGTTGAACGTTTTCCCTTTTCTCATTACTTGCGCGTTCATATCTCATTGCTTTTTTGGAGTATACAGCTCTCATTCGTCCTTGAAGTTTTTGTTTTTGTTTTTTGTTTTTTAAAGATTTTATGTATGTATTTGACACAGAGAGAGACAGTGAGAGAGGGAACACAAGCAAGGGGAGTGAGAGAAGAAGCAGGCTTCTTGCTGAGCAGGGATCCCAATGAGGAGCACAATCCCAAGACCCTGGGGTCATGACCTGAGCCAAAGGCAAAGACAGACACCTAACAGTTCAGCCACCCAGACACTCCAGTTCTTGAAGTTTTTAAATTGCAATCAAATTTTCGATTTTTATGTAGTTAAACTTGTTCTGTCTTTATCTTTGTCATGTTTGTAAACTGAAATTCTTTCCTTTTCAGAGGTGTTTTTTCCTTTTAAGGCATCTGCAATTTTGGGTAGAAATTGCATGTGGGGTAAAATTCTTTTGCTACTTTTCTTCATATAATTTACTGATTATCCTAACACAGTTTATGAAATAACTTTTCTTTTTTTAATTTTTTTTAAAGATTTTTTTTTTTTTATTTGACAGATCACAAGTAGGCAGAGAGGCAGGCAGAGAGAGAGAGGAGGAGGAGGCAGGCTCCCTGCTGAGCAGAGAGCCCGATGCGGGACTCGATCCCAGGACCCTGAGATCATGACCTGAGCTGAAGGCTGAGGCTTTAACCACTGAGCCACCCAGGCGCCCCAGTAACTTTTCTTTTTAAGGATTTCAGATATTGCTTTTTTAAAATTTATTTTATTTTAATTTTTTTATTTACTTGAGAGTGAGGGAGAAGTAGGCTCTACTGAGCTAGCCCAATGTGGGGCTCTGCGGAGCTCTATCCCAGGATCCTAAGATCCTGATCTGAGGTGAAGGCAGACGCTTAACCAACTGAGCCACCCAGACACTCATGATTTTATTTTTTTAAATAGTCTTTACACCCAATTTGGGGCTCGAAACCACAAACCTGAGGTCAGGAAACCACAAACCTCCACCAGCTGAGCCAGTTAGGTGCACCTGATTGTAATTTGCTTTTAAAAATTTATATTATCATTTATTCTAGATTTGCTTTAGAGTTAATATTATATTGAGTTCCCATCCCTACCTTTATAGTTGGTATGAACTGAATTGAAAAGAACCATTCGTTTTCATTTAAATTCACTAGTGAAATAGTAACTAATCTATCCAGTTTGCTAAACTGATTAAAAGTTGAGTCCTATGTATTAAAATTTATCTATTTACGTATCTGTAGCTTCCTAGAGTGTGCTCCCGTGGAACAAGCAGTGTCCTATGCACCTTCACATACAAGTCTGGAAGAAACTCAATAAATTACTTACTTGTTTTAGTCTTTTCTTTTCTTTCTTTTTTTAAGAAAGATTTTATTTATTTATTTGACACAGGAGAGAGCAAGAGAACACAAGCAGACTCCCCACTGAGCAGGAAGCCTATTGCAGGAGCCGATCCCAGGACTCTGGGGTCATGATGAGCTGAAGGCAGACTCATAACAGACTGGGTCACCCAGGCACCTCTAGTTTTTGTTTTTTGAACAAAAAGATGAGAATACATATCTTTAGAAATACCCAACATAGCTTAGATATTGCTAAATGGATTTGGAAACTGCCAAGTTTAACCAAGGTATAAATGGTAACTATTCAATTCACCAAAGGCCTACAGAAAGAGCTCTCCTGGGGTGCGTGGGTGGCGTGGTCGGTTAAGCATCTGCCTTAAGCGCTGGTCATGATCCCAGGGACCTAGGGTCGAGCTCCACATAGGGCTCCCTGTTTGGCAGAGAGCCTGCCTCTCTCTCTCTGCTGCTCTTCCTGCTTGTACTTTCTCGCTCTGTCAAATAAATAAATAAAACCTTAAAAAAAAAAAAGAAAGCTCTTTTCAAAGAGCTCCAAACCAATAACTAACAGGATTTAGGTATCCTAAAGGATAGGTACCTGAACATTTTTAGAGTAGTGAAGGAACTATCACGGTATCTATTGATTACATTATCCCTTAAGCTCATCAAGCTCCCTTTGCAATGAAACAATGATTATCTGGCAACTTCTGATATTCTAGATCAAAGATTAGCAAATTTTCTTTTCTTTTTTTTTTTTTTTTTAAGATTTTTAAGATTTATTTGACACACACAGAGAGAGAAAGAGATCTCAAGTAGGCAGAGAGGCAGACAGAGAGGAGGGAGCAGGCTCCCCGCTGAGCAGAGCCCAGCCCGGTGCGGGCTTGATCCCAGGACCCTGGGATCATGACCTGAGCTGAAGACAGGCTTTAACCCACTGAGCCACCCAGGCGCCCCTAGCAAATTTTCTTAAATGGCAAGATAATAAATATTTTAGGCTTGTAGGCCTTTTATTCTCTGTCACAACCAATCTATACTGCTACTGTAGCACCAAGCAGTCAGAAAACACCTAAGATGGGAATGGTTGAGATCCATGAAGGCTATTTGCAGAAACAGGTGGCCAGCCTAAGGGCAGTAGTTTGCTAACCTCTGGTCCAAAAGGGAAGCCATATTACTCTTCTTTTTAAAGAGAATTTGGTTGATCAACAATATTCTAGCCTTAGTCTTAGTAACACATACTGTCAATTAATACATGGAACAAAGTATCAGCCGCTCAACTGCCAATGTGATCTGTGTGAACCAGTCAACTCAGTGTGAATGGACAGAAGATAGTGTTACGGATTTTGATCTCAAGATGTCTCCTAATAGGCCCAAGGTGGGCAGCCAGACTATCCCTCTGTCGATCTTTATAGCTATAACTAAACAGACATTGTAAGAATGAGCTCTAAAAAACCCAAACCCCACCATTTACTAGCACTTAAAAAAAAAAAAAAAAAAAGCAGAGTTTAGAATAAAAATTGAGGGAGTGCCAGTCAGTACCAAAACAGTACCAAAACAGACAATCAGTAAAAGCCTCTTAAGAGAGGGGCGCCTGGGTGGCTCAGTGGATTAAGCCTCTGCCTTCGGCTCAGGTCATGATCCCAGGGTCCTGGGATCGAGCCCCACGTCGGGCTCTGCTCAGCAGGGAGCCTGCCTCCACCTCTCTGCCTGCCTCTCTGCCTACTTGTGATCTCAGTCTGTCAAATAAATAAAATCTTAAAAATAAAATAAATTTTTTTAAAAAGCCTCTTAAAGAGAAATGACAAAAAAATCCAGTGCCATTCAGTTGGAAAGGAAAAGTATCAGTTATGTGTCAAAACAAATTCTGGCCCAAAAGAGGCTTTAATATTAAAGTCTAGAAATCTGGGGGCGTGAGGGTGGCTCAGTGGGTTAAAGCCTCTGCCTTCGGCTCAGGTCATGATCTCAAGGTCCTGGGATTGAGCCCCACATCGGGCTCTCTGCTCAGTGGGGAGCCTGCCTCCCCTTCTCCCTCTGCCTGCTTCTCTGCCTACTTGTGATTTCTGTCAAATAAATAAATAAAATCTTTTTTAAAAAAAAAGTCTAGAAATTTAAATGATTAAATTAAAAGGCTGAATCAAAATGTGAAGGCTTTAGGGGTACCTGGCTGGCTCAGTAGGTGGAGTCTGCAATTCTTGATCTTAGGGTTATGAGTTCAAGCCCCACATTAGGCATAGAGCTCATTTAAAAAAAAACCAAAGTGAGGATGTTAGTATAACTGGCACATTAGTTTAGTAAAAGGTATAGATGGTAATTAAGAGGATATTGCAAGCTGACATCCAAACTGTAGTTAAGAAAGAAAATACTTAGATCAGCCATCTGCAGAAATGATACAAACCAAGAAATGCTGGGCATCAGTTTTAGAAATACTATCAAGGTGACTGAAGCAGACTGAAGAAAATGGTTTTTTTTTTCTTTAAAGATTTTATTTATTTCACAGAAAGGGAATACAAGCAGGGGGAGTGGGAGAGGGAGAAGCAGGCTTCCTGCTGAGCAGGGAGCCCAATGTGGGGGCTCGATCTCAGGACTTTGGGATCATGACCTGAGCCGAAGGTAGATGCTTAACCACTGAGCCACCCAGGTACCCTGAAGAATATAGTTCTTGATGAGATCAATAGTATAGCTTGATAAATGAAGACTGATTAGGTGAGAGCCCTATGGTGGAAAGGTCAGGAGAGCAGCTTCCATTTACTCACTACAGAACACTTATCACATGCCAGAAGCTTTACACACATTGTTTGATTCAATCGTCATGAGTCTTATGAGGGGAGGAGTCTTCAGGGATGAGAAAACTTGGGAGATGTTAACCTGCCTAGTAGGAGGTAGAGCTGTGATTCAAACACAGTCCAGGACTCTACAACTGGTGCTCTTAACCATCTAACTGCATTTTTCAAATGGATCACCTGTAGAATTCTATCCTGCAATACTGTAAATGATAAGCTTTCAAAAATGTTCCATGGGCAAATGAGTTGGGAAATTGAGTGCTTAAACTGTACTCGAGGACTTCTCTGAGCCTTTACTGTAAATCTAAAGACTAGAGAAAATAGCAAAATGGACTGGCTGGCTTTTCTAGGTCATCCCTATCTTGCCCTTACTCTAACTGCACAAAGTGAATAATTAATGGAAAAGACTACTTCCAGGATGTGGACAAGATATGGCAGGAATATGTAATCAGAGTGCTCAAAAATGCTGTTTATATATGAATGTTTATGTGTAACAAAAAATTACAAGTAGAAGAGTTTTTTTAAAAATTGAACTTAAATACATTAGATAATAGTTATAGTAAAAAATATGCTGTAATAATGGAAATGAAAGCTGTTTGGGCCCTCATGGTACCACCAACTCCTAGAAGATCTTAGCTATAAACAGGCAGGCAGATGATGTAATCTTTCTACATAATTAAAACTGGGTAAACCACAATAGGTGTGTTCCTTAAATAGTCTGCCAAATATTTTTCCAGATCTATTATAGCTATTGTGCAAATGGATTGGCATGTATTGTTATGTCCTTAATGTGTACATCGTTAAGAGGTCGATAGGTCTTCTCATTTACTGGTAACTTCTCCAATTCATCCAGAGTCTCCAGACCATCTATCACCCTGAAAGAGAAACAATTTAAATGGATGAAAATTTCCTTAGATTGAAACATAATATCCAAATACCTATTATAGCAATTAGTTTCCTGAAAGGACCATACTCATAGTTCTTTGAATTCCCTAGTTCAGTGGACAATAAAAAATACTGATTTTCTGCCATGGATATGAGTCAAAATTCAGAAACAAAAATTCATTTTTATGCCTTTACACAACAGCAATGGGTAGGAATACTACCATCAAAGTACTCACACAGCACAGCTACAAATGGATCTAATATAAACCAGTCGTAAGATTTTCTTTGGTATCGGAAAGCCCAGAGAAAGTACGGAAGGATGACTCCAAAATACTCACTTTCCAAATACTGTGTATTTCATGTCCAAATGTGGCTGCTTGCCATAGGTGATGAAGAATTGAGATCCATTGGTGTTTGGGCCATTATTAGCCATAGATACAACACCTCTAACATTATGCTGTAAAAGGTCAAAATATTTACCTGTGTTTTAATATAAATATTCCAAATATAGGACTGAAACAAGACCTGTACTTTTTAAGGGACCAAGAAAACATTTAATCAGCTTCTATTAGGGCTAATCCAAATGTTCACTTTTTGTATTATCTGTATTTCTAAAACTTGTATGTAAATTGGTCAGGTATCAAATCACATGCCCCAGTTAATTTCATTTTCACTTTGGAGGAATACAGCCACAAACATTTTTCACAATACCAAGGTATAATAGAAATCCTTACATTTATATTAAGGAACATGCTGGCATGAAACGATCAGGCAGACAACAAAACCAAAATCCCCATAATCTCTTCACATATACACTGGACTCTGGCTAGTTTCTGTATCTGTAAAACAAGGGAGGGTGGTTGGACTAGTTCAGGGGTTTATTCATAACTCAAATGCTCACAAGGGTCAGCAGGTAATAAATTAATTGGACAGAGTGTACACATTGGGGAGTGATGGAGTCTGGCAAAAGGAATGGTGTTATCTCTTGCCTGATAGCACTAAACATTTTTTTTTTAAAGCCAATGGCCATTGAGAATATATCTTGGGTCTTCTACCCAAGGGCAGTCAGTTCATGACCCAGGACTGAATGATCTAAGGGAAGGTTTCCTACAGCTCTAATTTCATGATAGTATTTATTATACAAGTAACTATTTAAAGAATTAAAAGGACTCTACCGATAAGATGGAACACATGACAGAACTGTGTTATGAGGAGGCGCTGCCAGTAAATAATGATTACTCTCTCTTTAGCTATTCATCAGGAAACACTAGTGAGACAAGCAACAGAAATATAGCTACATCAAGATATTAATGCTTGATGGACATCAAGGAGGGCATGTGATGTAATACATAATATATAAAACTGATGAATCACAGGCCTGTACCTCTGAAACCAGTACTATGTTATATGTCAATCAATTCAGTTTTAAAAATGTGAAAAAAAGATATTAATGCTTTATTGTCTTCCTAAAAGGTGACTCCCAAATGTTACATTTGATACATACACAAGAGTGTAATGTACCCCTTAGAACTTAATACTCATTAATCTATTTCTAAGATTTAAGAATCCAACTTACCGAACTGTTGCATATGCCTGTATACTCCTTATCTATCACCTCAACCTCTCCGAGAACCACTATTCTACTATCTTTAAATATGCCGTAACAATATATTTTTTCTTTTGCTTGTTTTTGAGCTAAGACAGTATCACACTATTTTAGTTTTTTAAATTTAAGTTAAAAAATTTTTTAAAAAACAGGAATGCATTAGTTTTTTATTAAAAAAAAAAAACAAAACAAAACCAACAAACGTTTCATGGGGTACCTGACAAGCTCAGCTGATGGAGCATGCAACTCTTGATTTTGGGGTTATAAGTTTGAGCCCCACGCTGGGTGTAGAGATTACTTAAAAATAATTTTTTTTTAATATGAAATTAAAAAGAAAAGGTTCTTTAGAAAGTTTGAAAAATCAAGAAAATGTGAAAGAAAAATGTGAAAAGAAAAACAAAAACAGGGACACCTGGGTGGCTCAGTTGGTTAAGCAGCTGCCTTCGGCTCAGGTCATGATCCCAGCGTCCTGGGATTGAGTTCCACATCGGGCTCCTGGCTCAGCAGGGAGCCTGCTTCTCCCTCTACCTCTGCCTGTCACTCTGCCTGCCTGTGTGCTCACTCGCTCTCTCTGATAGATAAATAAATACATTAAAAAAAAACAGGAAGGAAAATAAAAATCTCTAATTTCACCATGCTATGCCCTTCCCTTTAACCTAGTGAGACATTTAGCCCTGTTGGTACATTACTGATTAAACATTTCAGGTTGGATCCGAAGATAAGCTCACTTAATATTAAGATACATGGGATCGTGAGATTCCAAAATACATTTATATATTCCAAAATATATTTAAGGCAAGAAATTTTTCTTGCCATTTTCTCCCTGATATTTATCAAGTATACTAAAACTACAAAAAAAGTATGTTTGTATACTAATGACATTAACAACATATGTACTAAAAGTTTTCAAGTATAAACAAGGCATGAAAAAATAGATTTTGAAGCACTAGAGATATACCTTAAGATATTCACTATATTCATCCTCAAATTTCTTGCCCCAGATACTGTTACCTCCTCTTCCGGTACCTATATTACAAGACAAATCAAAAGAAGTTTCTAATTAAAAAAAACAAAGTCTTGGGGCGCCTGGGTGGCTCAGTGGGTTAAGCCTCTGCCTTCGGCTCAGGTCATGATCTCAGGAGCCTGGGATCGAGCCCCACATCGGGCTCTCTGCTCAGCAGGGAGCCTGCTTCCCCTTCTCTCTCTGCCTGCCTCTCTGCCTACTTGTGATCTCTCTCTCTGTGAAATAAATGAATAAAATCTTTAAGAAAAAAAACAAAAACAAAAAGCCAAAGTATCGGTGCACCTGGGTGGCTCAGTGGGTTAAAGCCTCTGCCTTGAGCTCAGGTCATAATCTCATGGTCCTGGGATCGAGCCCCAAATCGGGCTCTCTGCTCAGCCAGGAGCTTGCTTCCTCCTCTCTCTACCTGCCTCTCTGCCTACTTGTGATCTCTGTCAAATAAATAAATAAAATATTTAAAAAGAAAAAACAGAAACCAAAGTATCTAGTTAAAAGTTGAAAAGGTTGATTTTCTTTTCTTCCTTTTTTTTTTTTTTTTTTTTTTTAAGATTTTATTTATTGGAGAGAGAGAGAGAGCTAGAGAGGGCAGGAGCAGGGAGGACAGGCAGAAGCAGGCTAGCCATGGAGCAGGGAGCCTGATGCCAGAACTCAATTCCAGGACTCCAGGATCATAAACTGAGTTGAAGGCAGTCACTTAACCAACTGAGCCACCCAAGTGGCTTCAGTTTTTAAAACATATGGGCTGTTTTATAACTATTTATTTATTTTTAAGAAGATTTTATTTATTCATTTGACAGAGACACAGCGAGAGAGGGAACACAAGCAGAGGGAGAGGGAGAGGGAGAAGCAGGCTTCCCACTTAGCAGGGAGCCCGATGTGGGGCTCCATCCCAGGACTCTAGGATCATGTCCTGAGCCAAAGGCAGACACTTAACGAATGAGCCACCCAGGCGCCCCTGTTTATTTATTTTTAAAGATTTTATTTATTTGTGTGAAAGAGAAAAAGAGTGCACAGCTGGGGGAGAGGCAGAGGGAGAGGGTGAAGCAGGCTCCCTGCTGAGCAGGGAGCCCAACATGGGGTTCAATCCCAGGACCCTGAAATCATGATCCCAACCAAAGGCAGATGCTTAACCAACTGAGCTCCCCAGGCACTCCAATAATTCTTTAAATATAAATAACATTTGGGGTGGCTGGGTTGTTCAGTTGGTTTAGCCTCTGCCTTCAGCTTTAGTCATGATCCCAGGGTCCTGGGATCGAGTCCCACATGGGGCTCCCTGCTCAGTGGGGAGTCTGCCTCCCCCTCCCACCCCCATTGTCATCCCCCGCCCCCATGCTCGCACATGCATTCTCTCTCAAAAATAAATTTAAAAAATAAAGATAAAATTTGATATGTCCTTTCTTCTCAAAATTTCACTTTACAGACCAGAAAAATAAAGTATCTCTACAAAAAAAGAAATCCTTTCACTGTCAATAGTGTTCATATTTTAAGATGTTATTTATTTTGAAGAGAGAGAGTGTAATGAGCAGGAGGGGCAGAGGGAAAGGAAGACAGAACTGAAGCAGACTCTGCACCCAGCACAGAGTCTGATGCAAGTCTTGATCTCACTCCCCCAAGATCACGACCCAAGCCGAGACCAAGAGTCCAATGCTCAACCCACTGAGCCATGCAAGCACCCCTGTCCTATTTTAATTTGAAGCTAGATGCCAGTAGCTTCTACTTAAAAAATTTCTTGCTATGGTAAGGTAGCCGGGTTATAAAAACTCTATGTGCTTATATCTTTGGTTTTATTTTATAAAAATTAATTTTATTTATTAAAAAAACTTATTTTTATATATATTCTCTAAGTAGGCTCCAACCAAGTCCAGCGGGGCTTGAACTTACAACCCTGAGATCAAAACCTGGATCAAAATCAAGAGTCAGATACTTAACCTCTTTGAGCCACCCAGCCAACGCCCCCCCCAAATATTTTTAATTTGAGCATAGTTGATATACAATGTTACATTAAATATTTTTTTTATTCTTTGTCTACTCTCTTCTTCATACTATATACCCAATTCTCTAGATATTAATGGAGAAACTTACCTGTCGGATCTCCTGTTTGAACCATGAAACCCTTGATATTTCTATGAAATATACAACCATTGTAGTAATTACTGGCACAAAGAGCCAAAAAATTCTGAAAAGAGTAAAAATAATGATTGGGAAATGATGTAACAGAAATGCATTTAAAGCAATGAGCAAACTGTTTTATTTACTAAAAACACCATTAACGCATTTATGTTTTTAGGGATTACTTTGGATCTCACTTTTCTGCCTAAAACACTTTAATGGCTTCCTTTTGTTCTTGGAATAGAATACACAATCCTACCTCTATATCTCATGTGTTAATAATTTCTTTCTGTTACTATGTTAACTCTACTATCATTCTGAAAATTCATCTGAAAGGGGTAGGCTTACCCACCTAAGGCCTTTGTACTTCTATCTCTATACCTGGAATATTCTTTTTATCTCTTTCCGTGGAAATGCCTTCATTACCTTCTGCACTCAGTTTAAGTATCACTTTCTTGGCTAGGCCTGCCCTCAACTTCTTTTAAATAATTCCTTTCCATTAGTCTCCATTTCAGTGCTTTGTTTGCTACAATGCATTATCATGATCTGGAATCATTTTTTTTCTAGAATGACTCTCCTGCCCCCCAACTTATTTTCTCAGAGTATTAGCTCTGTAAGGGCAAGGAATATCTCTTGTTCATTACTGTATTCCTTAACCCTGGCAAGACAGTCTTTCATAAATAATTGCTGAATGAATATATAGAGAGAGCTAACTTTTTCTTTCCTTGTCATTTAAATAATTAAAATAATGTAAGAAACAGTTCTCTTACCTCATATCCTAATAAAATGAAAAGAAAAAGATACCCACCACTCTACAGTTAAAGAAAAATTACCAATCCTTTCTTTGCTCACCTTTAACATCAAAAGTAAGTAGAAACTGGGGCACCTGGGTGGCTCAGTTTGTTAAAACCTCTGCCTTCGGCTCGGGTCATGATCTCAGGGTCCTGGGATCAAGCCCTGCATTGCAGGGTGTGTGTGGGGGGTCTCTGTTCAGTGGGGAGCCTGCTTCCCTCTCTCTCTCTCTGCCTTCCTTTCTGCCTATTTGTGATCTCTCTCTCTGTTAAATAAATAAAATCTTTAAAAAAAAAGAAAAGTAAGTAAGAAACTAAGTGAGAAATTATGATGCCTAGTTTTTCCTGACACTGGTTTTATATACAAGTGTTCATTGTTTTTTAGGTTCGATAATTTCAAAATGGTTATCCTGCTGCATTAACTCATTAACTTATAGGCACATAATGGTACTCACCTCACAAGTTTTGGGTGTCCTCTCACAGAAAACTTCTATTTTAATATCACCTACATCTGTATGCAGTGTCACTGACTAAAAACGAGAAAAAAAAATAACAAATGAGATTTCTTCATGACTTTATGCGCTGTATTTATTTCCCAAACTAGGATAAAGATGACAATCTGAATGAAAACACAAAAAACAACATTTCAGAGATGAACTGTCCTCAAAGCTGAGAGTAAGCTGTACTTCTTCAAAACTTATTTCAACAGTAGAAAAAAAAACTCCAGAAGATGAATATGTTAATGTAAAATGCTATCTACCCTACACATTTGATAGTAAATACTATAGTGGAAATACTTAAGTGTGAATTTTTCATCAATAAAAATGAAAACAATGGTCATGTTAGTAATACTGATTTAAATGGCAACACACCAACATCATTTATATTGAAAAACAGTAAGAAAATGACTTTTCAAAACAAAGGTTCCACCATTTCCCTTATGTAATTTAATTCTGAGTGACAGTGTTAAAAGCAATTCCTTTCTTCACTAAAGACAACAGTCTTCTATGTTTCTAGATCCTAAATGTGCAGAGGTAACCATATTATCCTTGCTTGCTTTTTGTTTAGCTGCTGTTCCAGTAACTTGCACATTCCTTTTGTTGCTACATTGTGGGGTGGGGGGTTACTCTGAGGCTTCCTTTTCATTTCTCTTCTCCCAATAGTTTCTAGCAGTCAGAAAGTATGGTCAGGTTGATAGAGGCAGGAGTGTGTGAGCTGGGGGTAGGGTGGGAGGGATACAGAGCATTATTCTCATTGCTTGTCTTCTATGTCAAGCTCTGGTTGCTACCTTAGATCCAGAACAAAAGGATTCAGTTAAAATTATCACACCTGGGTATACTCTGCAGCTCCCTCTTTCCATGTATATGTTGTAATCAATCTTTTTCTGTAAAAAGTAAATTCTGTGCATTTTAAGTGAAAACACTGAAGAATTTAAAAGTAATTTTGCTTCTGGTTTTGTTTAGAGCAGTCATCCAGTGTGTGCTTCTGTCTTACCATTTCTGTCTTGCCATTAAAGTCCATGCAGTTTTATTTCCCTTGACTGAATTTCTAAAAATTATTTATAATGAAAGACATTAAGAATTGTACAAAACTGGGAACGCCTGGGTGGCTCAGTAGATCAAGCGTCAGCCTTGGTCTCCGGTCATGATGCCGCGGTCCTGGTACTGAGTCCCACATTGGGCTCCTTGCTCAGCGGGGAGAACCTGCTTCTCCCTCTGCCTGCTCTGCCTGCCTCTCCCCCTATTGTGCTCTCTCTCTCTCTCCGACAAATAAAATCTTAAAAAAAAAATTGTACAAAACTTACCATTTTTCTTCTTGATGGTTTCAGGAAGTACTACTGCTGAATTTCTGTCTTATCAAGAGAAGTTGGAAAACGTGTCTCTATTCCCGAAAGAGAAAACTATGTTTATTTTCCTCTCAACTCACACATGCTCATTTTTACTGCATTTTTAAAAGAAAACGTCTCGAACAGCACCCCCAAGTAGTAAAAATCTGACTATGGAAACGATGAGAACCTTCCTGACTCAAGCCCCTCAATCTCTCACTTACTCCTATTCAAAAGCCTCCCTGCAACTCCTGCAAGTCAGGTACATTTCCACCTTGGGGTCTAGACACTGAGTGTTCTCCCTCTGGAGTACTTAAACTCAGACGTCTGGACAGTTACATCCCTCACGTCCAAGTCTCTGCTCAAAAGTCAGGTCTCACTGGCCTGATAACTCTATTTAAAACTGCCTTCACTCTAGGACCTGCCCAATTATCTTCTCCTATAGCACTTACCAATAATACGCTATAAATTTTTCTAAATGAGTCTGTTCCAACACCACCCTCCCCGCCCGGTATGCTCACTTGAAGCAGCCCAAGAAGCAAAACAAAGAGCTTAGCAAGAATCTCGGTAAGTGAATGAGACTGAGTGATGTTACTTACCACTTCAGCTAGCACAGCTGTTGTTGAAACAAGAAAAAAATCCCTTGCATATACCCACGTTTCGAAGTTAGTCTTCGGGCTACCGGAAGTCGAGCGCGGCACCCATTAGAGAGTACGCCCCTCACCTCCTCGCCTCGGTTTACCTCCTCCTTCCTTCCCATTTCAAACCAAAATGACTACAGCTAGGAAGACAATGTAATTTATCCTCACCTGGTACCTTTTGACAGCGAAAGAGCGCTCTTTTAGTAAGTGTACAAGGACACGAAACGTAAACCGGAACCATTCCGCGCAACCTCTAGCAATGCCTTGGGCTCCGACGTAAAACGGGGAGGACCAGTTCCGCCCGGCTCCTTCCCATCCCATCCTGCAGTGCCAAGAGGCCCTGCGCAGGACCGGAAGTAGTGAGTGCAGTTCGTGGCGGGCGTGTGGTTAGTGCTCGCTGTGGAGGTTATGAGGGTGCTTCTGGGAGGGAAGGCGGAGGAGGAGACGCGCAGGAAATTTGTCTGTAGCTTGAGGGCATAGGGCGCTAGTGGGGTAGGAGTGCCTACTCAGGAGCTTCGGGCTGGGTCTCGCCTCTTCATTGTCCTGGAAAAGGTCTGAAGTGGGACTAAAATGGGGAGGTATCTGAAGTCACGGAGCAGGGTGCAGTTTGCAGGCTGTAAAGTGGTCCATACTATTGTCGCTTAAAAACAGTGCTGACGCTGGGCATTGTTCCCAGCTGTACGGTTACATCTCGACCACACTGTAAGCGGGGCACGGTTATTTTTATTCTACGGTGGGCGAAACAACAGACGTTAGGAGATGGGTTACACGGCTGCGGCTCTGGGAGTCGGTCTGGTTTCAGGGTGGGTGCTTCTGCCCACCCGCTGTGCCGCCTCCCGTGGTTAATTGCGGCGTCAAGCCACGCAGCCTCGCAGTTTCCTGATCTGTGAAATGGAGGGTGTTCTCTGTTATTTTGAAGGGCTCTTTCAACTTTAGCAGTACATAACTCAAAACTGTGGTGGGCCACTAGGGCTTTACTTTCACGCCTGCCAGATTTCTAAGAGTCTGGAGAGCGGGGCGGTATCAGTACTTGGAATCCGGAGAAGGAAAGTGTTGTAAGGACCTTTAGAAGATCTTCAAGAGCCTGGGGCGCCTGGGTGGCTCAGTGGGTTAAAGCCTCTGCCTTCGGCTCAGGTCGTGATCCCGGAGTCATGGGATCGAGCGAGCCGCGTCGGGCTATCTGCTCAGCGGGGAGCCTGCTTCCCTTCCTCTCTCTCTGCCAGCCTCTCTGCCTACTTGTGATCTCTCTCTCCGTCAAATAAAAAAAAAAAAAAAAAAAGAAGAAGAAGAAGATCTTCAAGATCCCAGGCTCCAGTGGGTTTTGGAGGCTCCGCATCATTTCAAATCAGATTCTGAATAAGACACACATGTCGTAGTAAATGTTTTTTGCTGAAAAAGTACATTTTTCTTCTTTTAAAAGATTTTATTTGACACAGCGAGACAGTGGGAGATGCTTAACGACTGGGCCCCTCAGGCCCCCCTGAAAGAGTGCATTTTTCAACAAATTTGTTAAATATTTTTGTGGAAATACTTGGTTTTGAAATTACGATTATCTGGTTAAATTTACGTTGGCTACGCTTATCTTGTCAGTTATGCATACTATGAATGCTTTTCTTCAAAAATAGAAATGTTCCTGGATTCTAATTGAAGTTGAGTGTTAGTTTTGTATAGGGCTTAGACACTGAAAAGGTTTTTTGAGAAGCTTTATTTTGGAAGTTGAAGGAGTCTTGGAAGAAAGGGTGGTATTTAGAGAACTGGAGAAGGGAGGAGAGTTGTTGAAGCAAGAATGGGGAGAACAAGAATCAGGGCTTGTGTGAGGTCCAGGAAATGGGGAGGAACATTTTGTGTATCATGTACCAAGCTCATGCTAGGTGACTTACACATATTAATTCATTTGCTCCTGTGAATGGCCTCTGATGTAGGTTATAGTGTCTCCCATTTTGTAAATGAGAAAATAACCTCAGGTTAAATGAGTTATCTAAGATATCGTGTGATGGTAAGTGGCAGAATTAGTATTTGAACCTAGGAATATGTCACTACAGCTCTTTTGCTCCTTTGCTTTGCTCCCTTGAAGGTCCAGGCCTAAAGTGTGTCTGTGTACCATTTTCTGTGTTTTGACTTCAGATACTCAGTTTTGCCTGATTTCTGTATGTTGTCATCTGTACGCCTCATTCGCAGAACAGTCCGGCTTGTTCATTCCCCAGTCTGCAATCCGTCCCGCTCCTTCATGGATTTGAAGGTGCTCGTTTCTTCCTTGAATGACTTCGCGTCCCTCTCACTTGCTGAGAGTTGGGACAATGTCGGGTTACTGGTGGAACCAAGCCCACCACACACCGTACACACTCTCTTTCTTACCATTGACTTGACCGAGCAAGTAATGGAGGAGGCACTGCAGAAGAAGGTGGATCTCATTCTCTCCTACCACCCACCCATCTTCCGACCCCTGAAGCATATAACCTGGAAAACCTGGAAGGAGCGCCTGGTGATCCGGGCTCTGGAAAACAGAGTCGGTATTTACTCTCCTCACACAGCCTATGATGCTTCACCCCAGGGAGTCAACAGCTGGTTGGCTAAAGGGCTTGGTGAGAAGCCTCTTATTCTTTCCTGTTTACTATTTTCCCTACAAATGCTTTGAAATTTTAGAATGTCTTTCCAAAAGAATTTTAACTGCTTTAGCTGTGGGTACCATGATTTTATTTTTATATATTTAAAAATAATGTGAAATCTGGCACCTGTATTTGATAAATGAAATTTTTATCCTTAACGAATAAGGAAAGCAGTCTTCATTGCTGGATTGAGCTTTGGGAGTCCTCACTCAAGTGTCACAGTGCCTAGCACCCAGAAGTTTGAGAAGTGCTTGTTAAATTGAGTCCAGAGCTCAGGCCTCTCCAGAATATACTTCATGCGTCAGTTAAATAGACCTCAGAGTTTTAATGAATGCTTACTCCTGCCCAGTACAATGAAGGACTTTAGCCTATGTGTTTTAGTTTTACTTTTAGTAAGTTACTTTAGTTTACTCGTTTGGGGCTGAAGCTTTTATGATTGTATAACCTGGATTAATGTGGTCAAGTAGGCTATGAGCATTTGCAACCAGAATGATGGTTTACATGAATAAATTTAGGAAGCAGTCACAAATTCCGTATATCCTCTAAGTATTCATGAGTCAAGTTTTTGTGTTATTTAAGAGTCTTCTGGAAAATAATTCTGAAAACAAATTGATTTTGTATGTACGAAATCCTACATGATGGGGATTTAAGTATATAGGATTTTAGTGTATATGTAAGAGATGTGTATGCATGTGTGTTACATAAATATCTGAGAATTGATCTTTAAAAACTCATTTCCTTAAAAATATTGCCCATAACAGTTTATCTTTTTAATTAAAAAAACAAAAACAAAAACCCACCATTTTTTCCCTAGGAGTTTGCACCTCCAGGCCCATACATCCTTCCAAAGCTCCCACCTACCCCACAGTGGGGACGCACAGGGTCGAATTCAGTGTTAACAGCACCGAAGACCTGGACAAAGTCATTTCTGCAGTAAAAGAAATTGCAGATGTTTCTGTCACTTCTTTTTCTACAAGGTACGATATATTTTTCTCCTTTTTAATGTATATTTATCTGTATGGATCTCCATTATAAATTCTATAACCCTGCTATTTAGATCTATTTTCCCCCAGAGTGGGTTTCTAGGGCAGCACACTTCTCATCCGCATGTGGTGTTCCATGGGGTCTTTTCAAAACAGTAAAAATGACAAGTAACACTGTTTTCTATGTGGGAGGGACTGTGCTACACCTTTTGCTTATAATATTTCTAATCCTCCTGATAATGTTAAAAGGTGGTTTTTTACCTGAGAGTATATAGATAAACCCTATTGATAACACTGATTACATGGATTTACTTTCAGTTTCTAGTAAATCAGTGATTCCCAAGCACTTTTTTTTTTTTTAAGATTTTATTTATTTGACAGACAAAGATCACAAGTAGGCAGAGAAGCAGGCAGAGAGAGGAGGAAGCAGGCTCCCCGCTGAGCAGAGAGCCCGATGCAGGGCTCGATTCCAGGACTGTGAGATCATGACCTGAGCTGAAGGCAGAGGCTTAACCCACTGAGCTACCTAGGCGCCCCTCCCAAGCACTTTTAAAAATTTTATTTATTTTTGGGCATCTGGGTGGCTCAGTCCATTAAGCTTCTGCCTTTGGCTCAGGTCATGATCTCAGGGTCTTAGGATCGAGCCCTGCATTGGGCTCCCTGCTCAGTGGGGAGCCTGCTTCTCCCTCTCCTACTCCACCTGCTTGTGTTCCCTCTCTTGCTGTGTCTCTCTTTGTCAAACAATAAATAAAATCTTAAAAAAAAAAAAGTCTCTTATGGTTTGCCTCCTTCTCTGTTTTCATCTTATT